TGACCAGACTCAGCTGTTCAGTGCAGGAATGGCACGAATGCAATGACTGCAGGCGAACCAAAACCCTCACTAGAGATCAGCTCTGAGCCACATCAGCACTTTGGCCACAGGGATGAAATGCAGCCCCTGCATTTTACTCAGGTAAATAAATGTATGACACTGTGACTGCAGGTGGCTCTTCCTGTGATCTCTCTTGGCAATGCAGAGATGTACATTAAACCATTCTCAAAAGAGGATCCCACAAGTCAGCAACTCTCACACTGGACTAAGTGACCAGGTACTTGCCTTGTTAGGGTATGGAGATCCCAATGGCCAGGGCATCCACCAGCCTTTGCCTTGCATTGCTGTGTCCAGAGGAAACCTGAGCATCTAGGCAGCCTTATACCAAAGCAGTGCTTGTCCTTAACCTAGAAAACAAGATGTGTGTCAACAAATTTTCTATTACAAGAATATTAAATACTCAGCTTTGAAGTAATTTACCTCCAAACCACATGGGACTATTGCTCTATTCTCACTTGTATTTTCCATCAACAATCTACTCTTTGCCTGAAGAAATCTCTACAATCAAATCAATCAAATCTCTACCGTTCTCAAATAGTTTAACCTGGTGAGAGCCCAAAGATTGTCTCCTCATTCCTACTATTTCCACCTGTGACCACTGTGCTCTCACCATCTCCTCCCACAATTTCTAGTACTTTATCTCAAAATGCTCTCATTAATTGCCTTTTTTTTAACAATCTATCAATAAGATAAATCAAGTGAACTACATAGCAAGAATCTCAACAATAGGTGTTAAGTTGAAGAATGAATAAAATATCTGGGAAAAGACTTTCACATCTGCTAACTAAGATTACACAGTCCAAAGAATGCTGAAATACAAATTAAATGACAAAAAAATCCCTTCTCATTCTGTGGCTCTAAGATGATTACACAGGGCCTTGAAACAGAGATGTTAAATCCTGCAAGTGTCCCTGGTACAAAATTAGTGTCTGAAAGCAAAAATGGCAATGCAGCCCCATTTTACAACATATTTTTTGAAAATATACACTCCAGTCAGTCTCATGGACAGACTGGAATTTAATGGAGACAAATTAATGTAGTTCAGCACCTGTGGAAATTCAGACCACAGAATTTCTTTGAGATCCCACATAGACAAAGAAAGGTTGAGGGATCATTGTGCCAAGAGGCAAAATATTAATTTTCTATCAATGAGAACTGACAAGGAGGAAAACTTGACATGTTTAGGAACAAAAGAAAGCATGGAAAGAATGCTGAGGAAGGAAATAGAAATTCTGTTCAAAAGACAGGAAAAAGTGCAAAGTACATTTTATAATAGAATTATGAAGAGTAGATTGACTGTACTGCTCAGACTCAAGAATCTGTTTTAAAAACTGCTGAGTCCTGACTTTAATGGAAATTTAAGAGGAGTTCCTTTCAAAGATTATCAAAGGTGGAACTTATGAGGTTAAGGTCAAGACACACAGAGTGCTTTCTCTCTTTTCATCAACCGCGCTCCTGAAGATGTGTGCAGAATAAAGCAGCAGTATTGGTACATATTTAACTAAGCAAAAGGAAAATGCTGAATTGTTTAACCTTGGTACACTCAAACATCATCAAGATAAGAGCTTAGTGACAATTGCCATCATTTATGGTTTCCCAAGGAACGGAAGTTAACAACTGGAAAGCCACAGAGTCAAAAAGACTGCTTTAAAGAAGGACTTGAAGACACTGCTGCATTATCTCAGCTCATACAGAGCCTTGTTTTTAACCACCTCACTGCTTCTCTGATAGCATTCATAAACAGATGGACTTCTTCACACTTCTTTTTTTTTTTCCTGATGAAAACATCTTCCTATACAGGCATATTGATCCCTTGGGGAGAAATCTGTGATGGAAATAGGTTTTAACATTGCTCAGTGAACAGCCCACACAACTGGCACTGACTGGGACACACAGGGTTCTGGGACAATGCAAACAGGAAGCTCTGTGTGGAGGACCTACCTAGCAAAGACAGCATTTTCCAGTGCACCTCAGTTTTGGGAGACAATTTGAAGCATGTGCTACAGTGATTTGCTTTTCAGAGACCAGGCAAGCCCCAAAGGATGCCTGAGGAATATGTCTTTTGGCCCCATGAGGTTGGCATCAGTGTTGAAGACCAAACATGACAAAACCCAGAAGAAAAGCACTCTTCTTCACTGATCAAAGCAGCACTTTGCTTGTCAGGAGCTTGAGGGGAAACCCTGTTGCAGTTTGGCTTTTGGACTCAGAGTTCCTTTAGCCAGGATGCAGCCATTGCTGTGACCACCACCCATCACAAATGGAGTGCACAGCAATGCAGTTAAATGATTCTGTGTCGCAGCAGACGTTGCAGTTGAGATGGCCACAACACAGAGAGTAACACCACACCATTTCGGAAAGCTTCAACCCATACACAGTAACACCACACCGCTTCAAAAGGCTTCAAGCATTGCCTTTCTTGTTTTTTAGCCCAACCTTTTACACCTTCATGTTGATGCCCTGCCCCTGTGTGCCCTCTGTTCCCTGTGTGGTAGGTCAGTGCCCCTGGGCACTCCACGGCTCATTGCTGTCAATGCTGCTCACAGCTGTGCCCACTGGGCTCCCACAGCCCCACTTCAATCGCCACAAACTGTGTGCCTACGTGTACAGGTGCCTGGTGGGCAGTTAACAAACAAGCTTTTTGTGTGGTGGAACCTTTGAATGCTGGGGCTCCAATGCCTCCTAGACTAGGTGCAGATCATCAGCCCTGAGTGCCTGTGCTGTATGAGCAGCTGGGAGCAATCAGCTCTTAGAGGAACATCCCAGATACAGCCTGAATGTCTGGGAAAAACCGGGCCTGGTGCGAGAGCTTCTTGGGAGAACTGTGATATGGGAAACATACATGTATATGAAAATTCAGAATTTTAGAAGCATATAATGTACTTTAGTGGGTGGAGGAAAACAGAAATATATATAGCCTATTTAACAAATTTGCAAAAGTACAGAACACAGTTTGTTACAGAAATGTAACCTGCTAGGTAGAGACAACTTGTAACAGAACATATAAGAATTTAGTTGCTAGGTAAAGGCCATAAAGATAAGCAAACTTACTAAAGCAAGACTCAGGCATTGTTGAAATCCATAAAGCAGAACCTTTTGCTTAAGGAGCCAGCAAGAACCATGCTCCTGGTTTTGGCCAGGACAAACTGACATGAGAGAAAGCCAAATCTCCACTGCACCTGCCCAGAAGAAAGGGTCAAGCAGTGAACATTGAGGAAGATAATGTTACTTCATCAAAGATGCCCACCCACAGCCACCAAAGACTCTGGGCAGGGAGGCGTGAGCTTAGGGGATTCAATGTGTATTTAAACCCAAAATCTGACCAGGTACACCTGTCTTTGGTGGAAATATCCCCCATGCATGCCAGCTGGACTAAAATACACCTGCAACATTATTCCTGCTGGAATAAAATATACCTGCTTTACAATTTTAATTGTAAATTCCTTATTCCACAAATCAGCTGAGGTTGTTGTGGCTGTGAGGCTGCAGAAGCCAGACCAGTCACGTTCACGTGAGGATTGCTGACAGGCACACAGTGACCTGATTTCTCTGATAACGTGTTCAGAGCTGACCAGATGGCATTGTAAGGTGCTTATCCTATAGGAAATCTGTCCTTAGCTCCCTTGTGGAGCATCAGCCTGGAAACATGGGCTTAAATTCCTCACACTTAAAGACATTCCCAGTCAGTACATCTGAAACACACGAACAGATGTTGGCACAAAGGTTGAATGACAACGTGAACAAATCCACATCCTGAACTCTTCTAGCAGAGATCCAATACTGAGACACTGAAAACAGGAATAATTCCTGGGAATTCCTTCTGTTCTGAAAGCCTTTCTCTAAGATGAGAAGACAAAGCATAATGGAACAGTTTTATGTTCAAAAGCATAGATTATCCAGTGGCTGCTGTGTTTTAATACTGAAGGCTACTGGGAACCACAGGCACATGTGGATTGGAACCAACATCCTTGCTCCTGCCATTAGGGAGCTCTCCTTGCTCCCCAACAGCAATTAGCTGCTTATATCTAATGACAACTGAAGTAAAGAAGACTGTCTAAGTGGGTTTTCCCCTCAATATGCAAGAGGGACAAAAGAGATAAGCTTTGGATAAATTCTCCTCAGAAAAAGCTTTGGTAAAAAGTGCACATGCATCTGACCTGCCTCCACAATGTGACAACATTTTCCTAAAACTAGTTAGTGATAACTTTGGACCAAACAGAATCAGGCACCAGATCCTCAGACTTGATCCAATGAACACTGAAGCCACCAATGAGTCTTCTACTCAGTTTTGGCAAGAGTTAGCCATGTATCTACACAGGAAATAGCCTTCTGCTTTTATATTCCAGCTGAGTTTATTGTTTGAGATGAGACTGTTCATGGAGGAGTGCAGTTTTCCTTGGCAAATAGGATCACAAGAAGTAGCCCCTGTAGTCCACACTTTAGATAAGCAGAACTTGTCTAGAGACAAAATCCTGAATTCCTTGAGGATACCTGGGCTCTTGCATCAGTTGTGAGCCAGTCAGGAGAGCTGTAGAGCCAACATCAAGAGCCCCCATTACACCTTTTGGGATAACATTTTGTACAAAAACCCATATTCTTATTTCTCCTACTACCCACTTAGAAAAAGAGATCCCAGAACTTTTCTCTGAACCAACAGTCCCTGTCAGGAGAGATCATTTCTTCTGTGCTCCTGACAATTCACAGTCATAGTGCCAAATAAAACAGACTGATTTGGTGTTAGCTGGTGGTATTAAGTTGTAAACAAAGTGAGGAGACACATGGCTCACTTAATTGACAAGGTCAGACCAGGATTCAACATCTGTTCTGTCAGGCACTTCAGAAACATCTTTATTGCAACTTAAGGGCTGTGCAATTTTCTTGCTTGACAGCCGACTGCACACAAAAACACAAGACACAAAAAATACATTTGTCAGCTTGGACAAGATAAATTTACTTTATATAAGCATACAGCTTGTGTATTTTGAAAAGCCACTGAGCAAATATGTTTCTCTTTGGTAATGCCAGACAAATACATGTAGAAGTGAAAGGAAAATAAAGAGGAAGAACAGATGCCTGTAAGTGAAACCATGATCAGATGGTAGCTCTGTTGTACCACACGGGGAAATGGCCTGGTACATAAGAGTCAAACTCTGCTGAGGAATTACTTTCAAGAGGACAAACAACATTCTGATACCTCTATATGAAGCAACAAAGCATTTGGGCAGCAGTCACAATCCATGCTGAAATTATTTGGATGTTCTGCCCAGCCAAGGCCAGGACTTCAGACAAGCAACATCTTTAGCTGGAATAGCCCCCAACCAGGGATTGAGGCCAGCCTGGGAAACTTAGTGAGTAAAAATACTAAAGTACATTAAATTATATGCTGGGATCTCTCCAGAGATCCAGAGTTGTCACAGCACATGCTGCAGTCAAGACAGCCACCATACAATTTCAGAAGGCTTTAGGCATTCACCCATACGCAGGAACACCTTACCACAGCAGAAGGCCTCAGGTGTCTGCCCACACACAGTAACATCATTTCACTTCAGAAGGCTGCAAGCATCTGCCCTTCCTCTTCTTCAGCCCAGCCTTTTATCCCCTCCTGTTGATGCCCTGCCCCTGTGTGGCCTCTGCTCCCTTTGGTGGTTGGTCAGTGCCCCTGGGCACTCCATGGCTCATTGCTGCCAGTGCTGCTCCCCTGCTGCTCACAGCTGTGCCCACTGGGGATGAGGCTCTGCCCAGCCCCACCCCAACCACCACAAACCGTGTGCCTGCATAGAGTATTTCTGTAAGAATTGCGTTAATGGTCTCTGGGGCTTCTGATTTTCTTATCAGAGGGAACATTTTGCTTGGAGGAGGGTTGGAGAGTTTGGAGCATGCTGTTTGGAGGGTGTAAGGCAAAGAGGAAAATCTTGGAGCATTTTTCAGATGTAAAAGAAAAGGGCTTAAACTCATATTAGAGAACAGAATCTTCAGACCTGTTAGTGAAGCTCTATACAGAGCTGTAAACACTTGGCCATATTTTACAGAGAAAAATCCTGCTGCAAACAATACCAAAAATGGCTTTTACATTTAGTTGTCATTTATATTCTACAGATTCTTTCTGCAAGCTCCACAAAACAATAGAGATAAAATATGTTGGCCCCCTCACCAGCAACCAAGCAATGAAACACAGTTCCTTCACCAACCTCCTGATTCAGAGGTCTTGCAAGGAAGACTGGCAGTTGCTTTATCCTTGATATAAAAAAATGCTATGTATGGTCAGGCATTCAAAAATAGGAAGCTGAGTGTCAGATCTACCTACTCTGAAAACCAATAGGAAAATAAAGTAATAGCAAGCACACAAAAGAGCCAGAAATAGGTTCAATTGCTCAGTACAATAGAAACATTCTCAGTAAGAGCAGACCCTGAGCAAGTGCCCATAAACCTGACCTTTTGGAATTGCATTTGCCTGTGTGAGTTACAACAGACCTCTGACTGTTCCCATTCAACTCCCCCAAATTGTGAAGGGCACCGAAACCATTTCTATCATACTGACAATTATGTTAAGAGAAAGAGTAGTACTATGAGTACTGACAGAAAAATTACTATTTGCAATCTGCAATTTACCCAGCAGCAAAGGTTTCTACTCCTCCTCATATTCACTAGAAGGAGAACTGAATTTATGAACAAGCAAGTAATTCAGTTTTAAGGACTCTCCCCCAGGCAGAGAAATAGCAGCAATGCAGAGGACAGTTAGAAAAGGACAGAAGATACACAGCTAAAGTATCAGCGGGTGCTTCAGTTTCTCTGTTATTCAGCCCTTTGGTATTATTCTTAGCATTTATTTCATGCTCCAGTAAGCTTTGTTTATTGAGGTGATCACACAACTCTGCTGTCTTGAAAGAACAGCTGCCTTCTGGCTTTAGAGGAACAGATGAAATCTGATTAGGTTTAATATCTTTCCAGCATGCTCTTCAATAACCACCTGATGACACTCTTAAGGAAGTTAAAACCAGGCCACTTTGATTTTAAAGTCAGATTTAGCCCCCTCAGAAGACATATTGAAAAGCTTACTTGAATCTGGCTCATCACCATTATTTTAATAACATGCTTATCAATTTTCTCAGCCCTTTGTATATGATGAGATTTTTATCATTTGTAGAAATTTACTTCCAAGTGGATTACTAGCACTTGGAAGGAGGGTCTTCAGGATAGTGAAGCACTGTTGGTTGTGCATGTCGGCAGATGCTTTTCCCCCTCCTCTCAGTCTGCTTATTTCAGCTGTGGAAGTGGTCCAGAAAACACTCCATGGTCTCGCGGACGACAAGGCTTGCACGGTTTCCTTGCTTCCACTGGAGTACCTTTAAAACCTATAGCTGTAAAACAAACATGAAAAACAGAGAAAATTGAGAGATTTGTTTAATTGGGATTTAATTTTAATATCTGAAATTCAGCCATGTTTGTGTGGGAAGGTTTAGATTAGCAGCAATCTGAAAATAAACAGGGATGTGATGGCAATTTTTTCTTTCTTTTCATTAGGTTGCTGGAGGTCACTGACTCTCAGCAGCCTATTTTCCCTAGTGAGGATGCTCAATCACTGCAAGTTTGCTGCTGCTGGAAGTTTCCATAGTTAGGTGAAGGTCTTCATAGACACAGGATGGTGCTACTGTCTGTCTAGAGCTTGAATTCTGCAATTGACACATTAAACAGTGTCTTCCCCTTACTATCATCACATTCTCCCTGTTTCCTGGTCAGAAGCCATAGACTGACATTGGCTTGAAGCATTTGCTTTCTGGGACAGCAATTGTTTCTGATGGAATGACAACATTGTAGGAAATCAGTGGTTTTGCTTCAAGAGAAGCAGCCAGTGTGGTTATATATGGTTATACACAACCCTCTCCTCAAGCCACACTGAGCTGGTCTGCCAGTGGCTTTGCAGCTTGCCCATGGCAATTGCCCAGCACAAAGAACAGTGCAGAGCAAGGCTGAAAAACAGTCCCTGTGCTTTGCCTGCAGACTATAAAGCAAGTAATATCCCCCTAAAAAGACAGCACAAGTTACCCAGAAATCTCATAGCAACAATACAAAACAAAGCCAACATCGTACAATTCCAGTCAAGAACTACACATTAAAACAGAAGAATTCAGCTTTGGGCAGTTGCTGCATTAGGCCCAAGCTTTTACAGTTGCCTCTCAATAAGAGTAGAAACCAATTCATATCAAGCATTTTGATACAAGCAGATATGAGGAAGTCATTTGCAGCAAAAAGATGCACCTTATACAGAAGCAAATAAACAACAATCCCTGACCTATAAAAGGTTTGGCTTCAGGTAAAGACAGGAGATGATTACAGTAAGCATGTTGGAATGCTCTGAGAACCAGGGCAGAGTGTAATGGGACAAGCAAAGATCCTAAAGTATTACTGTGTTTGCAGCAGAGGAAAGCATTTCAGATTCCCTCTGTAGGAGATCTCTGTGGTGAATTTACAGATTTTACTGGAGTGCTTCCTTTGAACTCCTTTCTGCCCCTCAGCACGATACCTTCCATTGCTCTGTGAGACCAGCATCACTGGACTTCATGTCCAGGAAACAGCGGTCTGCTTTCAAAGGAACATTTTCTTTGCAAGCACTTTTAGCAGAGAGTTTTCATGTAAAAAAGCTTGAAATGTTGCATAAAAAAGTTTGAAATACGCCCGATTTTGTCAGATAGAAAGTACTCAGATTGAATAGTAAGAGCTGTGCTGACCACATGAAGTCTCAGTAATGTGGAAAGGGCACTGGATCAGGCAGGGAGCAGCAGATGCAATCCAGCTCAGGCCAGGAGTGACAGAAGCCACATCTGTGCCTCTGGCATTGCACATCCCCCCAGGCCTTGTGGGCCAGCTGGGAACATGCTATTGCTCAAGTCCCCAGTTCCTACTACACCTGCTGATTAAATGAGGAGCCCCAGACAGCTATAAACCTCTGACCCATAATAATTCTGCAATTTGTTCACTGCTCCTGGTACCAATGGAACTCTGCCTATAAAACAGAGCCCATGATTCAGCCCTGGGAGACTGGGCAGGAAGGAAAGACTCCAGTTAAAGGAAAACTGTAGAGTAACACAAAGATTTTTAGATCATCTAAGCTATCTAAATATGAAAAGTAATCAATCATTTAAGATATTTTATCAGCTAGAATGAATTTGTTCAGAACTTCAAATTAGTGCTTTTATGATTAAAAGATTAGAAATAGGAAGTAAACTATTTTAGATCTAATTCTTTAGAGTTTAACAGAAGTTATCAGCTAGACATTATCTTGAAATGAAAAACATTAAGATTTAAGATACTAAGATTCTAAAGAGCATACTAATCCTTTTATCCTAGACTTGTTAATGGTTTGGCTTTTTTTCCACTGGGGCCTCACTGAAACCATAGATATTATGTACTTTTACTTGCATGGTCTTTAGATGCACCTATTTAGAACAAATTCAGTCTCAGCTAATTCACGTTCCTGGTGAAGGCTGTGGGTTCAAAAATTGGATTTTTGGGATTTTACAGAACCACACTTTGGTTGATCTCTCAAAACATAAAGATGAATGCAGCCATAGATGAATGGTGATGGAATATAGCAGGGCAAAGCCAGGATTGTATTTCACTTCTGTTCTTATCAATGAGGGACACTGACACTCAGACTTGATCCTATTTCTCTTGATTGTTTTATACTATGGGCATTAAATGGGTTCTAATATGTTCTAATCTTATTTCTTCCCAATCCAAACACTCAGTAAGTTTCCTAAAAAAAAAGAGAACAAGTTCTCAGTGATCCAATGAAGCTAATATTTACCTGTATAGAAAATTATGTGAAGTTTGCAGATGGAAAAAAACAGAGTGCTGTGATTTCTCTCTTATGATTACCTAATTTATATAATGAAACTGTAAACCTTTTTACCTTTATGTGGATTTTTGTTGACTTTGGATGATTTTGAACAGCAGCGTCTTCTCATCTTCTGACCTAAGGGTGAAAAGTAATACATTATCAGTGGAGACGGGTAATGCAAATAACTGTCCACATACAATAAACGTGTCAGACTTCACAGACATTTTCCTTACTGTATTTACCACTGAAATCCTTGTGTAGAGGGATCTGTAAAACAAAGGATTATCATGACTGATTTTTAGATCTCTGCACAGCTTTGTCCCTAGTGTGGAACAGGAACTTATTTGCTCTTTTCTGTCATTACTCATAGATGCATCAGATACACATTGTAAAGATTTCTTTATCCTTCAAAATGTCACACTGGCAGGCAACTCAATTACACCACTTTATGAAAATAGAAAAAATTACCAACAGGAGAAAAGAGCATCTCAGTGTCCAGATGCACCGGAGTGTAGAATAAACTGCTTTGGATGGGCAAAGCCACTGAAATATTCCCTCCCACCACACCCAAATAAGTGCGCTGCTGACTGCAGTTGACCACAGTGCTGGTCACAATAAAGGGGGAAAAAAAGGTTTACTCTGGAGTTGGGGGGGGGGAGCAGAAAGGACAGAGACAGATGATTTCTCATCAACAAAATCTAATATATGGTCAATGTTTCTGGAAATCACTGAGGCACACTTTACAGCCAAGGCTGGTGATGGAACCTGAGTTATCTTACCACCATAATTTAGTTCTGATGTAACAGAAGAATGGTTTAACATGCCAAGTACATTTATTGCACACCCAGACACTTTTGCTTCGACATCAGTGCTTACAGATAAGGAACAGTGTCCTTTGCACGTTTCCTCCCCACCTTCTGACTCATGAAAGCGTGAGTCATGTACATCAACATGAAGGAAATGCTACTATGGGAACAGCAGGTGTTCATTTGGGTTTTATTGATATGGCCATCTCCTGTCCTCCCTGGGCAGGTTTCCTTTATGTTCCTGAAGACACTTTAGAAAGTCTTCAACTGCCCTTGCACTGTTCCTAAAGTTTTTCTCAAGGGTTATGGAAAAACCTGAATAAAAAGAAGCAAAAAAGGCAAAGAGAGCAGAAGGGCTTCAGCTACCACTGCTCTGGCAAATAGCTCTACCAGCACAGACACCAGGAAATGATAAAACTGGGCAGCTGACTTAACCAATTAGAAAAACAGCTTTCACATGTTTCTCCATACTCATATTTACACATAAAGCAATTCTTAGAAGGTTTCTAGAAAATATCAAGCATGGCAAGTCTACTGTTCTTGGCCTTTGGACACTTAACTTATCTCACATTTACTCTTCACATCTGCTATAAAATACACATTGTAAAAATCATGGTGAGTCTCAGAGATTCACAATATCAAACCTCAAGTCTGCACAGGTAACTCTAGATTGCACCTCTCAATTTAAAAATGCTACTGAACAGTCCTTCTGCAAATGCACAATGACATCTGCAGAGATGTGGCTATAGACAGATGGAAAATCCTCTGTTCTCAGGATTTTAATTGCTCCGTGATTTTTGAATACTGCAAAATGGTAACTAAGTGCCTCAAGATACTGCAGATGAAGTGTGGATTATCAGCGGTAAGAAAAACCCTACCAAAAAAAAAAAAAAAAAAAAAAGGAAAACAACTGATTGAAGATCAGAAGCATTACCAAAGAACAGTTTCACTGTTCTATAAAGAAGTTATTATATACTCTGTTAACCTCACTGATTCATGTTCCCTTATTTCATATGGGTAGAAGCTTTTTCCATTAACACATTTCCCACTACTGACAAAATTATACTATTTTTACATTGGTGGATGGTTAGTTATCTACTGGGAAAATATAATAGGAAGTATTTTCAGAAGAGCAGAATTCAGAATACAGATTAAGGTAAAAGTTAATCATGCTGTGCAACAGGCTATAGCAGAGGAAACACTACTGTACAAACCAAAGCACTGATATGCTACCACATTCTGCAGTCTAAGACCTTTTCTAAGTTCAATCCTCCTTTTCATTGTTTGTTTCTGTTTGTTTCCTTTAATTAAAATCAACATAGCAAAGAAGCATTTTATATAAAAAAAGGAAAGAGAGGAAAAGAGAAAGCTGTGGTAGAAGACTATTATACTTTACCTTCTGCAGAAAAGACATTGAGGCACAAAAGACAGAGAAACAAAAAGCCACAAATTGCCCAGAGCTTCATCCTTCCAACGAGACGTTTCCGAGCACGCTGAAGGTGCGTCTTGCTCTCCCCCAGCACAACCTCAGCTTTTTATAAGATAGAGTCAAAGGAAGATTATGTTCAGAATGGGTGGGGAGTTGGCCTTTTATTGCACCTCAGCACATGAAAAAAACCAGCACTTCCTATTTCAAGGAGCAATTTACTCAGAATGAGGCAGCATAGAGAGTTCCTTACCAGTTACACAGGTAAGGAGCTGTGAAGATTAAAGTACACAGGGATGTTCTGAGGCAGAATCCTTGTCCTGTGCTACACAGCAGCCTCTCCAGAGGACCTGGTGTGCTCCTCTGCATGCTTGGAAAGGGAGAGAGTACAGCAGAACTGAATCTGTATGGACAGTGATTGGGGCTTGAAAAGGCAAACCAAACCCAGGGTGTGTTAATCAAAGCAATTGCCAGTCTGTTGTTATCATAATTAACAAGACAGCTGGTTAAGCAGCAGATTTCTGAGTTTATTATTAACATCTCAGTTTCTGTTATATCTGGATAATTAAGTTGTGAAGATTCCAGCTAACAGTTAAGATTAAGAAGTCATCAAATTCAACAGGGTGTACTTAAAAAAAAAAAAAGTCCTTCAAGGAGGGATCAACTATAGAGCTGTGTCACTTTAAACAGGCAAAAAGTTCAGCTTTGAGAGCATTCATACTCCCAGCTTAATCTGGTAAGATTTGGGTCTCTAACAACAGAATGTGTTAAAAGCCATGTAGCCTTAAAAGGTGGGAGCAGTATCTGCAAGCCACCCAGACTTGGAATTACAGCAGGAGAGAAGGCTTCACTCTGGTGCACAAATATTGCTCCCAGCCCCAGTTTTAAAGGTTTCCCGTTTCAGGTTTGGGATTTGGCTTGTTTCTTGCATTCATCAGCAGCCTTCCAAATTGGGTCACCCTTTTACCCACCAAATTTAACCCCAAACGCTTATTTCTGCAGTCCTACCTAGCAATATCCATAGATGGTGAAGATTGCTAATACCTGACAGCCTTTTTTGATTGCCAAGGCCAGCATTACCAAGGTGCAGGAATCAAATCACTAACAAAACTTGCTAGAAGATAGAATTACCTTCAAAGTGCTTTATGAAAGCCCTGCCTCACACTGGTACACCTTGTTCAGCCTGTAGTAAGGCTGTTAGTTCACCTAAGTCAGGAGGGACTTCTACAGTTCAGTTGATGCAGAGGAAGATGAATGACAACAATGTTGTTATGATCTCAGACTTCTTTTGACTATTGAAACATATAGGTGTGAGTCCTCATTTTGTACTTTTAAAGTCAACACTTCTGCTGGTCAAGACTGAATCAAATAACATAAATCTTAACACAAATTAAGCATGTAAAATGGAGCCAGTCAGCCTTCTCACGAAGGTTTGCAGAAAATCTGAAATGTAAATAAGGCACAAGAAAGAGTTAGTAGGAGAGTAATTTTTCTGCAACATTCAATCAATCTGTCTGAGTAGTGGTAGCACTGAACCAAGGATTTCACTTGGTGACTACACTATTTTATCTCCATTATACTTTCTGAGAAAGTTCCAGACAAGCTCATGTACTGAGGAAAGTGAGTGAATGGCTGTGTGGGGCTCAGTTGCCAGCTGGGGTTAAACCACATACTCAAATAATTTTTCATGTATTTTTAGCCTTAACTAGAACCATCACCATCTCTTTTTGTGTGCATGATAAGAAATAAAAAGTGAATACAGAAAAGTAACCAGGTAAGATGGGAGATGACTTGCAGAACAGAACCTCATCTCATGATGGCTATTGACACTTCCAACTTGTTCATGAAAACAAAAAGTGCTGCCAAAAGCACTACCTCAAAACCCCCCATCTTTCTTTTGAAATATTTACAACATAATATTGGGCAATGCAAGTTATGTACAAAGACTTGTTTTTCTAAGCATACATCACTGCACTGTGACGTTACCAATCACCCCAAGCAAGAAAACAGCATGTGCTCCCTGAATGCCCCACTTGTTTTCTGCGTGGAAGAGGCAGGCTGCTACTTGGTCTCTGTTACAATCCAAGCCTTCCAGCTACCATGAGAGGAAATGAGGCAAACCTGTACAGTCATCACTGCACTCCCAAAAGCCCCTGATAGGGGTTTGATAGGAAAAAGAACAAGTGCCCATTTTTTCAAGGGCAGCATCTGTTTCAGGAGTTTGTCCTGTCTTACTGTCAGGCTGCTCTAGGAATGCAAACAGAAAACCTGAAACTTTCTAAAACTAAAATACTGCGTGAATTTATCAAAATAATTTATTGGGGTGAGGATATTGTAATTTATTTATTTTCACCAATTGAGAGGTCTAGTTGCAAACCTTGAGAGATTCTTTTGAATAGGTAATGGGGACCATGCAGTATACTTTGCTTAGCAGTTTTGAGAAGAAACATAGCTGAGGAAGACGTTTTTCCTCCTAAACTGAATACTTTTAGAAGAAATTCCTGTGCTTTTTATCCTAAATTTCAGGCTGCAAAATTGATCACTGCTGTGGTTAAACCCTGTAATTCTTAGTGCCCTGTTTCATATGTGTCTATAAATGTTAATATTACAGGAAAAGTTAAGCAAACTGAAAAGGGAAGACGAGAAGCAATTACCTAGCATAATCTTTAGACTTGCCCTGAGACAAAAGTATTTACCATATAAGGTTATGGACTGTACAAAATAATGAGACAGAATTGTGTCAAGGGAGTGGCTGGAGACAGGAGAGGGAATAAAACCAGAGATTAATAAATAATCTCTGCTAACCTTTGTCCTTAGGGTCTGTCAGCTGGAAGTCTGAAGCATCTGTATGATAATCTGCCGTAGGACATGAATTTTATGAAATGAGCAGCAGCTGCTGTTCATCTTTCCAGTTGAAAAAAAGCTTGAAATTGAGTGCAGAGGTATTTCTGAATCATCCAGGGAAAGTAAGGGATGCATCCTGAGATTTGCATTATGTTCCCATTAATACCTGGTGTTCAAAAGGCACATAGGATGTCTCTCAAAGTCTTAAAGAAAGTATTTTGATTTCTTACTGCTAAATTAAGGTGTGATCCAGTCTCCTTTTGTGCTTGCCAAAACTCCTAAATTTGCAATCTTTATAGAGTCATTATTTCTGGAAGTGGTATGTTATTATAAGATTCACTAATATTTTTTAAAGGTCATGCCATTCTAAGAAGAATCTGCATTTTGTGTATGAAAATTTCTTCTAACCAGGTTGAAACAGCTGTTTGTGACATAAGGAGAATAACACAGTTGGAGCAAATGGTCTTGTTACGTTTAGAGCGAAATGAAACTTAACTTCTGAGCTGCAAGAAGGCAGGAAACATTAAGAACTTGAAGGATGCAAAGTTAATTTAATTCAACCTAGACCACTTATGGTGGGTGAACCAACACAGTTATCCAGGAGCATGTGCTGCTCTGTTTTTGAAGGAGGGAACATAGTGTAGAAATTAAAGGCTGCAGTAGCAGTCACTGTATGAGAAGCGGTAATGACAACATGTGGGACATACTAACTACACTAAGATCAGAATGAAGAGCAAGACTGAGGTTATAATTTCTCCTAGCAGTTTATGGTGATAAACACCTTGAAGACTGTCCTGGAACAGGGTTTAAAGCATCTTTGACAAAGCTGTTTCAATGAATGCCCTGCCACTCGTCATACTGTGGCTGCAAGTAAAGCCTCTGCAGAGCTGCCAGCTGGCATGTGAATCTCATGTGTGCTGTTCAGGGTGTCCAGGCTCTGTGTGCTCACCCCATTCTCTTCACAGGTCACTGTCCTAGATAGTTCTATTAAAATGGAACTTGCAGCTGTTTTTATTTTGCTTGGTTTTAACTTTCCTCCTGCTGGGAATGTGACAAATGTGAAAAAACAGATGTTTTCCCTTTCCCCCTGCTTAGTTCATGTGTTCTCTCTCTAGTTTTTCAAGCCTTAGATGTGGTTTATCTGGTTGCTGTAGGCTTCTAAACAGCATAATGAAATGAGGCAAGGGTTCAGGCCATAAAAATTTACATGAAGTGCACGCTCATTGTGCTATGTGTGATGGAAATATTTCTTAGTGGTAGCTCAGTCTTCTAGTTCAGGCAAGACGTGATTGAAGAGACTGTTTTTGACAGGTAACCTGCCAGAGCTCACACTTCCATGATGGGGTGATGAGAGGAGCTGTGTAACCTTCTCATTATGGAGGCAGATCTGTCCCCACTGCATGTTACTTCTCCCAAAGTAGGGAAAAAACAGGGACCCAAGCAGGGAAGATTATCCCTCTTGCCACTTACCATGGCTGTAAGGATGTGTCCTTGTTTCAGTCAGCACTTTCTTTGTTTTTCAGAAAGATGATAGAAGAATATGAAGTCTATCTGGTATTCTGTACAAAGTAACTAGTCCAGCTGCCCAATGCCTAATTCCAGAAAACTTGGTAAGAGGAAGTGGTACAATGACAGATGTCTGGGCAGGCATCTCACTCTTCTTCCTCCTGAATAGACAAGATGTTTACTTCAGCTGGCAAGCCTCCAAAATAGAAAATACTGTGCAGATGTCAGCCCCTAGGCTTTTGGAAAGATTTTGAGATTGTTCTGCATATTAATCTCATTCTTGAAGACATGAATAAGCCTTGTCTCTGCTATCTGATAGGAGGTAGTTGCAGAAATAACAGTGTTTTGTCCTGATGCTGTTACTTGGCCACTCTCACCTCTTTCTGGTTATTCTGTACGTTGTAGATATGCTAATCATTTCATACAAAAAAAATTAGTTGGTAATAAAGTCCAGAACTTGAACTAAGGAATTTAGAGGCTAAAGATCTTTTCATTTCTAAAATGGTATGAATTTCAACTTTTCTTCCTGCCACCTCTGACAGAGAGACATTTGAGGAGAATGTTCCATTGTTGATTTACTGTCAGCTTGCTAAAATCCCATAATCCAGTTTACTGGGCACCATTTCAGTGCACTGAACACAGTCTGCCCACCAAAGCATTTATGGTCACCTCAGTTTACTTAATGTGACTAGGAAGCAGTAAAAGAAAAAAGACTTCAGCAGCAATGCCTTTACTTTCAGGTGAAAATTTAATGGGATAGGAGAACTCTGCTGA